GATTTGTATTCTCCAATTCTTATTCATCCACATCTTCTATTCTTCTTCTTTTGGTTTTATTAGCCGTTTTTATCTTTTGCTTCTTACTTCTTCTTGGTCATTTTTATCTTATCCAAACTATTTTTCTTATAATTTTTGTTTGTCTTTTTCGCATCTTTACTTTCTTCTATTTTTTTCTTTTTCATCTTGGGTTTTTTATCTTCTTATACTTTATTTTCTTCATCTACCGTTTCTGTTCTTTTTTTTCTTTCAGTTTTCTTCTTCAACTTTGAGTTCTTCATCTCCTTATCATTTTTCTTCTTCACTATTTTGTGTTACCCATCTTGATCTTATTGTTCATGGTCTAGGATTTTTTGTTCATTTTTTCCTCATTTTTTTTACGTCTTCGTCAACTTTATGTTCTTCTATATGTTTCGATTAATTTTTTCTCTCTTCTTTTTCTACTTCGTTTTTCCCATTTTCCCATTTTCTTTTTTCTTTTTCGGTTTTCTTAATTTTTTTCTTCCCTCTCATTCTCTATTTTTCATTCTTCATCGTTCAGAATTTGTATTCTTCTAATGTTTCTCTCGATCGTCTTCATCTTGTTATTCAATCATATAATGAAAATTAATATTCAAAGTGTAGGTAAACAAACTAAAGACATATATATATATATATATATATATATATATTGTTTACTTGACTCATGACATATATGCATAATGTTTAAAAGTCTGATACTCTGATTTATGAAAGAGTTCAGAGCTGTGGAACAAAAGGGGAAAACATTTACATGTTGGATTGTTATGAGAAATCCCCGCAAGCTGCTTTCATTTCCACTCGACCAACATTATACATCAGCATCAAGAGAACCTGTGAGCCTCTGCAATTTCTATTAGAGGAGCAAAAGAATTAGCGCAACCTAATTTTGGAGATAATATTTATGAGAATGCTCTAATGATAACGATATTTGTATATGAGGATTACATTTCTCTCTGCCTGCTTTTTTTGGGCGTTGAGATCATGTAGTTTCTTCGTTGGAATGATGACATCATACAAATATGTTTTAGCAGAGAAAATGACAGATGGTGCACGTTCAGATGTTCTCTGGTGCCTCACAGATCTAGCTTTGTATCTCTGGACTGTCTCACTTTTCGTTTCGCCAAGCAAATCAATGAACAGGTTAGTGTAAGATCAAATATCTTGGGAACGAAAATATATACATCAATAGAGACGTTTCTGGTTTGAAAGAACTTAAGGACCTGGATTTTTTTTCTCTGCATCCTACTAGAGTATTTGGCCTCTTTTATATTATCCCAAAAATAAACAGAAATCAGAAAGCCATATTTAAATAAAAAAACAAAAGACTTAAAACCTGTTCATTAGACAATGAAGATGATTTATGATATGTTGACATGGTGATTGAACATAAATATTGATGTGATTGAACATAAATAGATACATTAAAAAAAAAGAAAAAAAAACAATTTGTAGGGATTGACCATAATTCAAACTCATGGGAAGCTTTGTCTTTCCTTTTAATAAAAACTCAGTTGCACAGAGACCAAAAAAGAATTTGTAGATTTTCTCCAGTTTTCCAAAGTCAGCAAAGCATAAAAAAACTTTTTCGCAGAATGAATGAATTCCATGTGAAAAGCGATCCAGACAACCCAGCTTAAGACACGGCCACCTAAACACAAACCAATATAGAACGAAGTTAAGAAAATAAAATTTACGTAAAAGTAGAGAAAAAAAAAAGAGAAAAACAGGTATTTTCCTCCAATAACTCAACAAACAAAACACATATGAAACTGGTATCTCGTGCAATCGAAAACATATAACATGATAAAAATTTAAAAATAAGAGACGACAACAACCGGAAAAAAATGCAAAATGACAAATACAAAAGCTGACAATCGCAAAACATACTAACTATATATACACCGGAAAAATATCCAGAGGGGTAACCCACCTACATGGACAAAGAAAAAAAAATTATACGATTAATTAGTAAGGAAGAACAACTGACAACCAATGTTTTAATAACCGACCCGGAAAGCAAACCAGAGTACTCTTTGGGTGACCAGGTTATCAGGTTGCACCGGGTCGCATCAGATCAACCGCGTAATTAGTTTAATATTTTTTATAAATATAAAAGCAAAACATCCATACTTAGTCAAAAAATATGATATCCATGATAAAAAAAAATTATGATATCCAACAACCATAATAAACTGATTAAAAAATTTTAAAACCAAATTTAATCAAACAAAACTAAAATATTAAAAAGCCACCAATAATAAAAAAATAAACTATTTAAAAAATAGTTATCTTCTTCGCCATTAAAATTCATTTCAGCAGGCTCTTCAAGCGGCATAGTGAAGTCTTCATCAAAATCTAAAAATTAAAAATCATATAGTTTAATCAATATATTATATATAATTAAAACAAAAAATATTAAAATTAAAAAAATACCATTAGACATTTCAGGGTTTGTCTCTTCATCATCTTTTGGATATTCCTCGGCAAGAGTTCTCTCCAATTCATCATAATCAAGTTCACCTGCTTCTTCTTCTTCTACGATCCAAAATTCTGTTTTATCAATAGATTCATAATCAACAGGATCATATGATCTTTTTCTTTTTGACCTGTACATTAAAAAAACATGTAAGAAACTTGTTACAAACTGAGCTTAATAAATAAACAAGTAACTTGTAATCATACTGACCTATCTTGCAAACGTAAATTGTAGTGAACAAAGACGAGATCATTAGGTCGTTGATGCTCTAATCTATTCCTCTTTTTGGTATGGATCCTCTCAAATACAGACCAATTACGCTCACATCCAGATGAAGAAGCGGTTTGACTAAGAATCCGTATTGCAAACTTTTGTAAAGTAGGAGCATCACAACCAAAGTATCTCCACCATTCATCTATGAATTACCAGATTATATTAAAATATTGTATATACATATAATAATGGAATTCAGATTTGTGACATCCCGATCCCGCCTTCTCCCATTGGGAACCGGACGCGGACCGGCGATATCAGTCCTAACTTCCTCCAACCGCCCCTCCCAGTGAGCCCAACGCCCTCTCTAGGCCCGTTAGCCCACCACTGTCCGACAGTCGGGAGTCGTTAGTTCGGAAAGCTCGTAAGACTTGTTTTACTGTCCTTGCAATCACCACATGATCTTTCCCCGTGCTTTGTCCTCACTCGCACGGTACCGCAGAGTACTTTCCGGTAGGTCACCCATCCTGAGATTACTCCAGCATCAGCATGCTTAACTCTGGAGTTCTCTCAGCACACTTGACCGGAAAAGATAAGTGCACTTTGTTGACATAGATAGCCAAATCAATTCTTATAAGCCTTTCCATGTACCGGAAATCGGGATGTTACAAGATTCATGTATAATATTATAAGTTACCTGGCTGAGAAGTTTTGCTGCAAGTTAGAGCCATGTCTCGAGAAAAGCTGCCTATACGTTCTCTATAAAAACCTAACCTCTTGAAAGAGCTTTGTCTCGTCCTTTTGCTTTTCAAATAAATTCAACAACCCTCTTGGAATCTCAGGATTCTCACAAAATGTATTTTTCTCGTACATGAAAGCCGGATTCAAATAATATGTTGCAGCATGAAGATCATTACGCAACATACGATCCCATCTTTGATCAATGATGGTTGTATAAGGTTTGTATAAAACGTCCTTCTTCTGAAACATATTTTTAATGCCTAATCTTGCTCGATACATCCCTTCGTACACATATGGTAAAGAAGGCTTCTCATCAGCATCACAAATCCGCAACAGACGTATGATAGGAGGCATAATCTTGACAATTATCAAGCAATCAGTCCACATTCGCTCATTTAAGACAATCGTTTTAACCTTCTTTGCTTTAGCTGTTTTAAAAAGCTGTTTGAATTCTGAATCTGTACTTATAACCAAAGCTTGCAAATCTCCTTTATGCTCATATAGACTCTGCAGAGCAATGAAAGTTGTAGCAAAACGTGTTTCTCCAGGACGAATGATCTCTCTCCACCCAGGTCTTTTTCTCACCCAATTTAAAGTTGACTTATGGTTGTATATAAAGATGGTTACTTTAGACATACGTTGCACTAAATTTTGAACCGCAGGTAGCTCTGATACATCTTCCAAAATCAGATTGATACAATGAGCTGCACATGGAGACCAAGCAACTATAGGAAACTTTTCAACAAGGTGCTTTCTTACGGCTTTGTAGTTGGGTGCATTATCTGTCACTAGATGAACTACGTTATCTGGACCGACCATATCCATAACATCAGCAAACAAGTTGCATAAATTCTCAGCACTCTCATAGATATCAGAAGCATCAACCGACTTAAGAAATGTAATTCCTTTAGGACAATAAACTAAAAAATTAATCAGCGGTCTTTGTCTTGCATCCTTCCATCCATCTCCCATAAGAGTACAGCCACTATCAGCCCAAGTACTTCTAAAATTATCAATGATCAAAGAAACCTGTAGTTTAGCATCACGCAACAACCCAACACGCAGAGAATGGTATGAAGGACCCACATATCCATGGCCCATACTTGCTATCTGATGCGATCATGGACAGCCTAGAGAACTTGGAACTTGGAGCTGAAGAAGTTGGAGTCGAAAAAAAAGGAGAACCTGATATAGAAGAAGCTTTGGAAATGCCAGCCGGTCCAATAACTCGATCAAGGAGCAAGAAACTTAAGGAAGCTATCGGAGCTATGCTTAGAACCAGTTGGAGACGAGCTAATGTCTTGAGCCAGGAGGGAGAAGTTGCTATACAAGCCGCATTGGTTTCTATACAGGCTCAAGATGATCAGTGAATGGGCATGTGACCCGTTTGCACTCTTTTTCCCTCTCCTTTGGTTTTGTCCCAATGGATTTTCCAAAGGGAGGTTTTTAATGAGACAAACGGCTCACATCATATCCCTCATTTTCTGATCCAACAGAGGCCCAACACTTGAAGTATCGGCCTGGAGAAGAAGAGTTTCTTTCTTGTTTCTTCCTTATTCAAACTTAGTCTTTATTGTCTTAGTTATTTCCGAGACAAGTCTTGGCTGTCACTGATAACACCGTATTTTGACCACTTTTATGGATCGTTTTGAAATACTTTTTATATGTTTTTAATTGCTTTTAAGTACTTTTATCACGTTTTTCTAGTATTTGTAGTTCCAAGACTCTTTTCAGGTAACTTAGGGAAAAGCTTAACAAAATGGATAGAAAACCAGATTTCAGCTCAGAGTCAAATCGTCAGAAGTTCACCCCTGATTGAAGGCCTTCTCACCGTCTGATCCAGCTCAAACTTGGAGACCTAAAAGATGGAAGTATCAGCTTTCCAGTGCACTTTACAGCTTGGCAATCCAACGGTTCAATCAAAAGATACGCGAATATCAAGATGTCCCGTAAACCAGCTGGCTAGCACTTCCACCCGCGGCCAACAAGCGTTTTCCCGCAAAACCACTCATCCACCGCGGTCACACTTGTCCCGACCGTGGCCTTCAACCTCCAAGCCCAAAAAGCCCATTTCTGAAGCCCACATTTGGAGAAACCCTAAGTGACGTCCAGAGAGGTCTTGAGCACTATAAATACATGTCTTAGGAGCCCTAGAAATCGTGTGTAACCTTAGAGAACCGAATTATTTACTTCATAATTTCATTGTTTTTGCTTTAGCTTTTAGGGAGAGAGAGATTTGTTCTCTTGAACCCTTGTTCTTTCTTTTTCAATTTCGGTTTCTATTATACTTCTTAATATTATGTCTTTGATTTCGTTCATTATGTCTGAGTAGTTTTATTGTTGGGATTAAGGGATTTTCGATGGGGATTTATATGTTCTATGAGGATTCCATTGGCTATTGAGCTGAATCTTAGAACTTTTTCTTCTGAATTCGTTTTTACTGCATGAGAGTAGCGTCATGAACTATAATCTGATCCAGATGCTTGGTGACACGAAAGTGTTCATCAGGTATCAGATCTAGTTTGGGAGAGCAAAACAAACATAGGAGTGGAAACCTACCTATGGGCGATTTGTGAATTAGGACGAGTCTTAAACATAATGCATCTCTTCTCTTCCAGGGCCAGAGTGGAAACCTACTGGTCAGGGTTAAGAGAGATAGTTGTCTATGATCACGACAGTGGCGTATTCATACGTCCGTGACTCCAGTTCGAAAAGTTTAAGCTAAGATCTTACAAAATTTCTTCTCTAGCAATGTTTTGAATCGTTCGTACCCCTGAGAAAACTTCCCTGAAGCCCAACGCTTTCTTCTCCATTGATTTCCTGCGATTTTCTTTAAGCTTTAGTTCAATATTGTCTTTTTTTTTTAGTTCATTTTCATTTAAGCATTAGAATATCCGTTTTTATCATTTTTAGTTATTTTCGTTAAGTTTAGTTATTACGCCATTTAATTTCCGTACTCTCTTTTAATATTTCGTTTTTACATTTTAAAGACACCACCAAACCCCCACTAAACCGTTTTTGTTCTAGACATCCTTACTTTACTTATTTCAAAGGTTTTTTGCAGTAAAAGATCCTCCTTCCCTGTGGATTCGATCCCTAAGTACTACAATTGATCAGCTGTGCACTTGCGGCTATCGATTTCAATTAGGGTAAAACTTGACAACCCTCAGCACACCACACATCAGTCACAGACTTGTTCTCTTTCTTTTTAAACCCTTGTACGCTCCTTGTTAAACTCATCTATCTTTTCTATCAAAAACTCTTTCTAAGTTAGATCATTTGTTCTCTTGAACATCTTAGCTTGTGAGTGTGTTATATCTTTCAAGCAAACCGATTCTTTGGTGTGTCATATCCATCGAATCACCCTGGTATATCAAAGGCCTTCCGCATCCTTTGTGTGACCTATCAATCCCTCAGTTTCTATTCAAAGTTCATACCCAAGTCTTACCCAAACCAAGAGATCTAGTGCTTAGAGTGAAGATCTAAAGAAGGAACGTATCAAGTGGTATCAAGCCACTCAAAGCAAGGATCGACGTGGATCAGGTTGTGTCTAATCTATTTATACGCTTAGATCCGTTCTTATGTCAAAAGAAGCGATCTCAAACTTTAACTTTGATCAGCAAACATAGCTTATCATAATCTGTGCTTGTTGCATCACAAACCTATAGATCGTTTCATTCTGTTATTGAATCTAGTAAATCAACATCATCGGAACCTTGTGTAAAAAGTGTCGATTCAAATTCAAAACTGATTAGATCGCTCGTAGGGTTTCCTGATTGCTTGAAGAACACGAATGGTCATTTTTATAGAGTCAAAGAATCGTTGCTAGTGATCCACTTTGTGTTGTTCGCAGGAAAAGATGTCTGATAATTGTGAAGAGTCCAGCAACAACAATAACAAACTATTGATGGAAGCAATGATGGCCGAGATGAAAAAGCTGATGGCCGCTCAGTTCGAAGAATTTAGACAAGAGATCTAACATCAGAACTCTGACTCAAGGCCGAACCGAGATGCAAGGAGGAGGAATAATGATCAATCTCCGGAGAGGGCTCGTGAACAAACCCGACCAGCTAGAGACGAAGCGGTTGAGGAGTATTATAGCCAAGACAGTAGCTCGTCAAGGAGTAATCACCGACGATATAGACGAGTAAGAGAGGAAAAGGCTTATCCTCAAGAAAATTTTGGAGGGCTTAAGCTTCGGATTCCTCCTTTCCATGGGAAGAACGATCCTGATGCCTACCTAGAATGGGAAAAAAAATAGAGTTGGTGTTTAACTGACAACACTATACCGAGATCAATCGCGTAAGAGTTGCTGCTACTGAGTTTTATGACTACGCTCTTAGCTGGTGGGATCAGTTAGTTACATCAAGAAGAAGGAACGGCGAGTACCCGGTTGAGAGTTGGAATGAGATGAAAGCTATCATGAGAAAACGATTTGTGCCAAGCCATTATCATCGAGAACTACATCAGAGGATCAGGAGGCTTACTCAAGGGACCCGGTCTGTCGAAGACTATTACCAAGAGATGGAGACTCTCATGCTTAGAGCCGATATAACTGAAGATCTAGAAGCTACCATGTCGAGGTTTTTGGGGGGGCTTGAACAGAGAAATTCAAGACCGGTTGGAAATGCAACACTATGTTGAGGTGGAGGAGATGCTACACAAATCCATACTGATCGAACAACAACTCAAGAGGCGTGTTCCCACTAAGACAAGCTATGGAGGTGGAGCAACCGTTACTAAATCCATTTACCCGAAAGAAGAAAAAGCAGGATCTTTTCAGAGAGAAGAAAAGCAGATCGCCTACCCAAAAGCTGAAGCCAAGTCGTATCCAGTTTCTCAAGATCACAAAGGAAAGGCAGAAACTACTAATCCAAGGTCAAGAGATGTCAAGTGCTTTAAGTGTCAAGGCAGGGGACATTACGCGAATGAATGTTCAAATCGAAAGAACATAATTTTGTTGGATAATGGAGACATAGCGTCTGATGAGGAAGAGTCTGAGGTCGCAGCTGAGACAGATCATGAGGAGCTTCCGGCTCAAGGAACTTTATTAGTGGCTAGACGGTCTTTAAGTCTCCAATCCAAATACGCTGAGCAGGAACAAAGAGAGAACCTGTTTCACACCCGGTGTATCGTTCAAGGAAAAGTCTGTAGCCTCATTATAGATGGGGGAAGCTGCACCAACGTGGCTAGTGAAGTGATGGTTCAAAAGCTCGGCTTAAAGATGGAGAAGCACCCAAAGCCGTATAAGCTGCAATGGCTCAATGACAATGGAGAACTGAAAGTGAATCACCAAGTTCGAGTACCTTTAACCATTGGAAAATATGAAGATGAGATACTCTGTGATGTCTTACCAATGGAAGCAGGGCATATTCTCCTTGGCAGGCCATGGCAATCAGATCGAAAGGTCATACATGATGGATATACTAATCGACATTCCTTTGTTTATAATGGCAGGAAAACTACCCTGGTGCCGTTGTCGCCTCAAGAAGTTTACCAGGATCAAGTACAGCTAAAGCAAAAGGAAAAACCGGTCACAAAACCCTCTAACTTCTTTCTTAGGGCTGGTAAAGTTAAGAAAGCTTTGTTAGCTAAACAACCGATGCTTTTATTGGTGTTTAAGGAAGCTCTCACGAGCTTAACTAACTTGACACCGGTTTGCAGGACTATGAGGACGTGTTTCCTGAAGAGAACCCCAAGGGTTTATCTCCCATTAGAGGAATCAAACATCAAATAGATTTCATGCCCGGAGCTTCTCTTCCAAATCATCCAGCCTATAGAACCAACCCTGTGGAGACCAAAGAATTACAGCGCCAAGTTAATGAGCTATTGGAGAAAGGGTACATAAGAGAAAGCTTGAGTCCTTGCGCGGTACCTGTTCTACTTGTGCCTAAGAAAGACGGCAGCTGGCGCATGTGTGTTGATTGTAGAGCAATCAACAACATTACGGTTAAATATCGACACCCTATCCCTAGATTAGATGATATGCTTGATGAATTGCATGGTTCTAGTATCTTTTCTAAGATATATTTGAAAAATGGCTATCATCAGATTAGAATGAAGGAAGGGGATGAGTGGAAAACCGCCTTTAAAATTAAGCA